GGGAAGGTTTTAAGGAGTTGGGGTTTAGGGGTTTAGGGTTTAGGGGAGTTGGGGTTAGGGTTGTGGGTTCCGGGCTTTTTCGGGTTTAAGGTTCATGGTTTCGGGTTTGGATTTACTGTGGTTCAGGTTTAGGCTTCAGGAGCTCGCTCCCTTTCTCAGGGGGCGGAGTGGCCCCTCACGAACTAGTTACTAGAGCCCTAACAACCTTACCCAAAAGCCGTTAACGGTTTAGGGTTTGGGGTTTCGGGGTTAAGGGTTTAGGGTTTAGGGTTTACCTTAAACCCTTAAGCCCCGACACCTACCTTGAACCGACCACTCAGACAGCGCGAGGCTCCGAAAACCTCGAGTTTGGCCGAGGCACCCCTGCTGCTTCTGTGCGAGCTGTTTTCGTGTCTTTTTGGAGGGACGGCTAGACTCTGAGTCCGACGGCCTCAACTGCAGATAAGCAGCCTAGACTCGACTTGGCATGGCTTCATGATTTCGGAAGCAACGTGATGCTTTCTGGGTTTAGTGCCCAAGCTGTCTAAGCTTTGAGTGGTTTCAGAAGCTTGCGGTTTGGACGGCAAGCTTAGCGATCTTGGTTGCTTGCCCCCATCCTGAGACTACTCTCAGGGATATGAGTAGGGCTACTATACAGAATAGTACTTTACGGAGTACGACTAATGATCTTATTCTATGGGCACAGAGCGGCGGCAAATGCTAAAGGTTCAAGTGCAAGCTCGTGGCTTTACTATAGGGGCCTTAGCAATCAGAGAAGGGTTTGAGGGTGTTGTTTTCGTATAATCATTATATTATACTATATTATATTATACTATATTATATTATATTATATTATGCTATATTTTGGTATGATCATGTAGGGATGAGAGCAAAGGAATGTCTTACGTATCACGGGAATTCGCTTCAGCACTGTAACATGGCAGCTTAAAATATGTAAGCCTCGGGTTCGGCTTCCCCTTTAATTCCCTGAAAGACTCTTCAGAAAGATTCTGGAGTCTTGGGTTTTGGGTTTAGGGTTTACATTCCAGTCCTGAAGCCCGGAGAGGTGGATTTGAAAGGGAGCCCACGTGCCACATGTCAAAAGTTGAGGGAAGCTTGATGCCTCTACGCCAGGACGTGAAGCACGAACCCTGACATCCCCAAAGCCCTAAACCCTGATGGCTTTCAGAGCGCTGTTCCCAGAGAACCAGTATACCCCCCACATAAGCAATATAGCTTAAATTCTAGGGGCCTGAATAGTATGATTTAAGGCATATTCCTTACTTAAGGAGTATTGGGTTCTCTGGGTTGCTTCCTCCCACCCTAAGCCCTAAACCCCTGAACCCTAAGCCCTAAGCCCCTAAACCCTAAACCCTAAACCCCTAAACCCTAAGCCACTTCCCGGAAGTAAGTCCGGGACTTCGGACCGAAGCCTGGTCTAAAGGCGGCTGCCTGGCATCTCACGAAGCGCCGGGAGGCTCCGGTAAAAAAGGGGGGTTGGTTTGATGGATGCTTGTAAACCCTAAACCCTAAACCCTAAATCCGTCAGACCACAGATTAATACCAACACAATAGAGTCAATAGAGTGAGCGCAACTGCATTAGCTGAACAAAGCATTGCGGGTGTAGTCTTCGTACCAGCAGAGCTTGTTGGGGTCTATGTTTCAGCCTCTGGGGCTGAAGTTTATTTTTAATTGCAAGGTCCAGGGCGGGGCCCAGGAAGCAGAGCACTCGTTCACAGCCCTTTTGAGACCGGCTTTCGGGGCGTCGCGCGGCCGCTTTTTAGGTCGACATCAGCGGAAGCCCCAAGGAACCCCATCGTCTTTTGCACACCCTAAGCCCCCAGCACAAGCAAGGGTTTAGGGTTTAAGGTTTAGGGCTTAGGGCTTTAGGGGTTTAGGGTTTAGGGGTTTAGGGTTTTAGGGGTTGAGGGCCCCGGAAGCCACCAGAACCCGAGAAGTTCGAAGCCGGAGAGACCCCACGTCGCGCTCCAGGCCATGCGGGCACCGGAGGCCAAACCGTCGAGGCGCTCTTCTTCTTTTTGGGGCCGCTGCTTTTTTGTTGTTAAAGCATCTGTGGTCGATATACCAAGTCTGAAGGCCCTATAAGTATCGAAGGGACGAGCCGAGGATCAAAAGTTCAGCAATGAGGGCTTCGGAATCCCCTCAACCCTGCGGTGATGTGAAGATCTGAAGGCTTACGTTGAGCGTAACCCCACCCTTCGATTTCACGATAGGGGGGCCAGTGCCTTGGGTTGTGGCCCCAAACAGCCTCACATTCCTGGACCGTCTCAACTTAACCCTAAACCCTAAAACCCTAACTCAACTTAAACCCCATAGACTCGACTTTCCTGCCTTCACCACATTGGCCAGGGGGGCTGATTGCCCTAAGGAGCCCTGGGATGTAAGACAGAACGACGTAGCTGAGTTTATATATATATATATATTTATTTATTCATTCATTTTTTTATTTACATATATATGGGAGCCCTAAACCCCAGACCCTAAGCCCCTGCAACCCCCCCCTGCAATCTGCTTCAGGCGCTCCCGCCTCATGGATCAGCCGCTGGAGGCACCGCGACCCACCAGCAGGCCCAAGATGGTCTTGTAGGGCCCTTTTGTAGGGGGTCTGAAGAGTTAGACTAGGGTTCCTGTAAAGGGCTCTTAGAAAGGGGTCTGTAAGGGTTCCTTACAGGGTTCTATAAGGGTTTAGGGTTTAGGGGCCTTAAGAATTAGAATAGGATTTTGTTTGGGGTATATGATACCATATGCATAGTATGGAACCCCCACAATAGTCGTGGTAATTATTCAGGTTCCTCTACAGGGTTTTTGGGTTTTGTACAGGTTCAGGAGGTGAAGTTTTCGCGTCAGGTTTGCTAGTTTAGGGTTTGGGGGTCTGGGTTTGCAGTTTAGGGTTTAGGGTTTAGGTTCAAAGTTTGGGGTTTAGGGCTGATTTAGGGCTGCAGGATTAGTAGCTAGGGACTGAAGGAGTTGGAACATGCAGATTGAGGACGGATGGTGTTGGGAAAGGATATGTCTGTTCCAGTTTTCCCACACTTACCTCAATCAGAGCGATTCTCCTTCCAAAAAGTAACACTACCTCTGCTAAAAGCGACTTGCAGCAGGGGGGGAGGCAGACAAAAATCCAGGCGCTTGGCCCATGCCAAGACGATGCCTGCGCGCCCTCGTCCGCAGGCCGGTGCTCTCCGGCTTCAAGACTTAGCCCTAAATCCGAAAACCTAGCAGCTTCGATCGTTATGTCTCGAAGCTTTCAATTTTGATCAGATTTGTTTAGGAGTTTGGGTGGTCCAGGGTCTGTATTCCCAACAGCTTTGATCCAATAGAGGAGGCCCTGTTGTCAAGCCCGATTACATTTTGGGGGGTTTCCGAAAAGAGGGGACCCTAATCTAGTACCCTAAATAGTAGGATCCTTATTATAAGGACCCCAAAATACAGGTACCCCGTATTTTCGGAAAGTTACACTTCTCAGTTGGCAACCAGTGATAACACATGTTCCAGCTCAAAGTGTCTTCAAAGATGCTGAGGAGCGCGGACACTCGAAGTGTCGTGTCCTGGAAGACTACCTTCAGTAATATGACCCTAGGTCGGACATTCTACAAGACCGTTCCAAGCTTGTTATTTGTCTTGCTGGTGCATATCATGTGTATTGCTAGTGCAAGTGAGGGCGGCAGTTGAGGATAAAGCCCAGGGGGCATCGGACCCAAACCCTAACAAACCCTAAACCTTATGCCCCGAACAAGTTAGCAGATACGAATTCCATTTTCTAGTCGTGCACCCCCCCAGCACCCAAACCCTAACAACCTACACCCGAACCTTCAGCTCACCAAAATACCCATAGCAAGACCCAAATGATGAACACCATACATTGGAACCATGCATACCACCATAGAAAATAGCATGCTCAACCCCACATCATGCCCCACCCGATAGACAGCCCATAACACCCAACCCAAAACCCCTAACCGTCGAAAATAGAAATGACCAGAGTGACCACGTTGTGACGTTGTGGAACTGTTCTACAACGAGACGCGTCTCCAGAACTTTCACACCATTCTAATATAGGGGCCTTAATAATTACCTATACTATTTCGGGGGTTCCTTATTATAACTATAGTATAATGGGCCCCAAAGCCCTATTCTAATCATGAAGGCCCCTACAGTACAGTGTGGCCTCAATGAGGGTGACTCGGTTACGGTCGTTTCCCGCAAACGTGCACAAAGTTTTGCCGAGGCCATTGTAGGACGAACGTCGGAGCCCATGCGGTCCGCGCAGCCCATGCGCGCCCAAAAGCAGCCGCAAAGACCACTGGACTTACGCACAGCTGCTGCGGTCAACCCAGATGAGAGAATCGCGCTTAACCTGCTTCAGCTATCAGGCAACTGCACCACCTTGGTCATTCAGCGGAAGGATGCGATTCGGAATGTCATAGAGATGTTCAAGAAGCTTGGGGAACATGGGGGATGCCCGATGCCCGTTGCACCTTTTCTACCTCCAAAAGTTGAATTGTTCTACAACGAAAGGCAGCTCCTGGGGTGTCACACCATTCTACAGTGTGGCCTCAATGACAGTGACTCGCTTACAGTTGTTGCCCGCAGCATTTTTTCTTGAGCCCTTGCCCATCGTTCGGCGCAAGTGTCCTTAGTGACAAAGTGCACACGGGCATTTCACCCACTCCAAATTGGCAGGTCCCTAAACCCTAAACCCTAAACCCACTCCAAATTGGCGGGTGATGCGCTAAATCGAAGGGATGAGATTGCACGTACCCGAGCTGAGGCAGAGGTTCAGTGTCGCTTCAAAGATGAAAAAAATCCCAAGCGGCGGTGGCAGATGGCGACGGGGATGTCCGTGTGGGATACGAAGGTTGGATTTACACCGGCTTGTAACACCCAATTTGCGTGGAAATGGTATCTGCCAACTGAACAACCCTCCTTCCTAGGCCCTAACTCCCCGGCACTCCTACGTCGTAATCCAAGAGTGCTGAAAGAAAAGCTGTGCCGACAGGTCTCTGATCCTCGCAAGCCTTCGCACCAGCGAAAGGAGGCGCCTTGTGGAGAGTGGTTCCGGGTTTTGGGGTTTAGGGGCGCAGGGTATACAGGATTTGGAGTTTCAGGGGTTGGCTTTAGCCTTTATAGGGCTTATAGTTCTAGGCTTACGGGTTTTCGGTTAGTTTTGGATTGTGTGGGTTCCTGGGGTAAGGATCTTCGGGGTCTAGGGCCTGCCTAAGGGTTTTGGGGGTTAGCGTTTTGGGATAAGGGTTCGGTGTTTTTGCTGTCGGGGCTTAGGTTGAGGTGTTTGGGCATTCAAGCGTAGGTGTCGCAGACTGGAGTTGATCCCTGAAGGCTGAAACGTCTAGATCTCCGAGAGAAGAAGGCTATCGCTTTTGGTCTTAAACCCCTACACCCTAAGGCCCTAAACCCTCAACCTTAAACCCTAAACCCCCTAAGCCCTAAACCTTAAAGTATCAGTATACGTCAACCCTAGAAACCCGAAGCTTAGGGTCAGTCCAGGAGTCCAGGACTTAGGTGAAGTGCCGATGAGAGCGCAGCGCGAGGGTTTGCATGTTCAAATTTGTGCGTGAGCTCTCTAGGTTTACCCTAAGGGTCCAAGTGCTCATTATATAGGACTTTGGGGGCCTTTATGCGCACCAAAAACCATAAATACCGATTACTTGGACCCTTAGGGTAAAGGACTTCTAATAGAAGTGGTTCTGAAAGGCTGGTTTCTGCGTGGCGCGGCTGAGGGCCATGTAATTGTGAATATACTAGCGATTCGTTTCTGAGCTTTGGATGCTGGCCCCAACGTAAGGGAAGATCCCTAAACCCTAAACCCCAAACCCTAAACCCAAAACCCCAAACCCCTAAACCCTATATAAACCCTAAACCCTAAACCAAGATCCCTCTGTGGAGGCACCAGCATTGCCGGCCACAGAGAAGTCTCGGCGGTTGGAGAAGGCACTGATTATGCAGTATACTGGGACCCTCTTTGTACCCTCAAATAGGGGGTATATGGTCCCAAGTTAAGGGCATTTAGGGTCTAATAGAGGGTAGATGGAGGGTCTAGGTATAGTCATCTTCTTCTTTCAGTGCCGTAGCTTCTGCACACTCGTATTGGTCCCGGTGTTCGTGCAACAGTCGTCGCCGATACCCGGGCAGCAAGCAAGAGTAGCTGCACCCGACAGAAGTTCGACAATCCCTGTAGCTGCCGTTGGCTATTAGGACCGCGTGGCCGCGCAACTAACGCTGGGAACTATCAGCAGCAGTCACTAGCGCTAGCAATGAAAAACCAGGTCACACCATTCTCCAAGTTGTTTACCCTCAGGAGTTGTTCCTGGCATGATCTGCCAAGTTCAACGGATGAGGCTGATAGAACCGGGCATCGAGGCATTCAGAACATCCATGAACCCCTAAACCCCAAACCCCAGAGAACATCCATGAACGACAAGTCTGCAAACTCCGCAACTTTAAGTCCTAAATCGTCAGCGGGTGCAAAACTCTTGGTGGCGTAGCCACGCCAAGCGCTGTCACCTCAAGCCTTAAGCCCCAAACCCGAGAACATCGAAGAAAGGCCCAGAGCACCGAAGCACCCGTTGAAAATTTCAGAAAAGTAGAAGACAACATGATGTCACAAAATATAAGACAACACGAAGAATAATCCATTATGATATAATATGACATACTATGATATAGCCATGATATAATAGGCTATAATTTTGATGTATTAGGATATCTTTATGATATTTACCATAAAGGTTCCTGGCAAGCCTTGGTTTGTAGCGGGCAGAGCAGGCACTGACAGGCGAGCTTCCCGAGCCGGTCAGCTGGGCCGTAGCAGAGAGCGGCTCGAACCCGGTTTAGGGTTTAGGCTTTAGGGTTGTAGGGATTTTCGGGTTTAGGGCTTGGGGTTTAGAGTCGCAGGGATTTTCTTGTTTAGGGTTTGGGGTTTAGGGTTGTAGGGATTTTCGGGTTTTAGGGTTAGGGTTTAGGGTTTAGGGATGTCCGTTTTTGGAGTTAGGAGGGTTGTAGGGATGGGTTTAGGGTTTAGGGATTCTCGCTTTTAGGGTTTAGGGTTTTGGGTTTGTCGGGTTGTTGGGATTTTCGCTTCTAGCGCTAGGGTTTAGGGTTGTAGTTGTGGGCTTGAGGGACTTGGGGCCTACGGCCTTTTAGGGCTTAGGGCTTCGTTCAGGGCTTTGGGCTCTAGAGTCCATGGGGTTTTGCTGGCTTTAGACTTTAGTGTCTAGGATCGGGTTGGATGTGTGGGGTTCTGAGGTTTGTCTTTCAAAACCCTAAACCCTAGGTTCCAGAGTCTGGGCCTTTTCTGGGGAGCAGCCTCCAGTGCTGGAGACCAGGCAGAAGGCCCTGTCGCATGCTGTTTCTGCGGTACTGCCTCCTCTCACAAGTTGGGTTTGCAAGCTTCGTGTGCAGACTTCCGTCAAGCTGACATGGCGTTCGCTGAGTGCCCATAGTGGTTCACTGGGAGTGACTGCGGCCACTTCGCAAGGTGTCATGGGAAGGTTGCAGGACACTTCCGTTTCAAAAGGGCTAGGAAAACGTTCAAGGTCCAGACCACTCAAGTTGGCTGTATAGCGACAACGACTGCTCTTGAGTACTGTCACGGTCAGCCGAGGATGCTTCCAAAAGTCAGCACTAAAGCCACTGGCAGTCTCGGGATTTCAGCAGTCTCAGCAGACAGAACAGACATACACACACACACACTTTTTGCAATGGCGACCGGCGTGCCGCAGCCAACAGCAAATTGTACAGTTGTTGCAGCGGCAAAGCAGCAGCAGCAGCACCGCAACAATTTCGGCCGCAGGTTCCATAAGAAACAACGTCGTAACTGAGCCAGCTATGTTATGGGTAAGGAGCTCTATAGGGCTGGGGAGCGAACACCACGGTTCAATATAGAGGCCTTAATAACTAGAATAGGGTTTGGGCGCCCATTGTGCAAAAATTATAGTAAGGAACCCCCAAAACCCTGTTCTAATTATGAAGGCCCCTACATTAGGTCTTGTTTGCTGTGTAGGGTCCACGAACAAGCTGGCAGGCCCAGGTCGTTTAAAGGGACGGTGACCCAAACGCAAAGGTCAGGCAAACTGGGCCGTGGACGATGTGCTGCTTGATCTGAGCCTTTCGTTTGCAGCTGATGAGAATTTGGTATCTGGGGGCTTCTTCTTAACGGCCTGGGTTCGACGATGTCGATGATGTCGGATGGTTTTGGGCTCTGCAGCGTCCAGACATGCTGAGACACCGTCCCTGAACGCTTAAGAGCCCCGCTACACGTAGAACCGACTCACCATAGCCCAGCCAAGAATGCCCCGAAGACTGACCCCATCAAAGGGGCTTGGAAAGCACACCTAACCTTGATTCCGGAAAAGCTTCAATCGAAACGACCACAGAACCCAAGACCCTGTCTTCTGTACCGGTATGGAACCTGCCCGCATTTGCCGCAACTTGACCACCCTTAACCCCAAAGCAGTCAATCCGACTCCGGGCCGGTACTGTAAATGGGCAGTTCTCTAAAATGGGGTCCCTTTTAGGGTTCCTTTTAGAAGAGTGCCGTACTATATTGGGGACCTAAACAGGGACCCTGATTTAGAGAACTACCCAAGTATCTGAATGTACTTCTGGTTCGAGCTTGCAACGCGCAACACTCGAGGCAAAAAGGACCAGGACTTGTCCGAGTTGATCCTCCCAGCTGACACCTCCACAGTTGAGAACATCAGTCTCGAAGGCACCGAGGGGCTTTGGGGGAGGATGAGAACTGCAGACGGGTTTAGGGTTTGGGTTTTCGGGTTCTGGGGGATGTTACAAAAGGCCTTGGCTATGATTCATATACCATGACAATATAGGCATTTGCAGACTTCGATGCTCCGGTGCGCAGTAGAGTACCGATTTTCGCGTAGAGGTGCATCATACCCGAAAGTGTGTCTGGCTTATGTGGGCTCTGCACTTAGGGTGTGGGATGCAGGTGGTGTGCGCCTCGGATTTTGTTACGGTTAACCCTAAGGGTTTAGGGTTTTTAGGGTTTAGGGCTTAGGGCCTAAACCCTACAAGGCGTAGGATTCGGTTGGTTTGGGCCTAGAGCTTAAGCTTAATTTGAGTCTGTGGGTTTTGAAGATGGGCGGTCTGCGACCTGTGCCCTAGGGGAGTTTTGGATGGACATGTTGGGGATATTTAGGGTTTAGGGGTTTGGGGTTTAGAGGTTTAGGGTTTAGGGGTTCAGGGGGATAGTTTCCGGCTGGATTGACTGACGGTCGACGAATAAGGGTTTAGGGTCTAGGGTTTAGGGGTTTAAGGTTTAGGGTTTTAGGGAGGACGAGAGTGCTGTGACAGCCTCTCAAAGGCTCCGTCTTCAATGATCCTTGCCCGAACCCCCCCCCCATACCAACGGTGGGCCCCAACTGCAAAAGTCCCAAACCCCAAGGAACTACAGTGACGGTGTTGGATAAGAAACTCCTGTATCCGAGGCAGGGTGCCCTGAATTTCTTATTTAGATAGCGCTCGGTTCAGGGTCATAAGTGATACCCGCCAGGTTTAGGGTACCCTGAATTTCTTATCGGAGTCGTGCCGTGCGCCTCTGACTCTGAAACCTTGGTGCTTTTGGTAGAAATCCCAGATCAAGTGTTCAACCTTCCACCCATTGCCTTCGGGCGACTTCCGAAACTCTCGCCAAATGGCTGCAGGAGCCTCAAACCCGTCCAAGCGACCGGATGTCAAATCTTCACCTCTACTGCTTGCCTTCGGCAAAGTTTTAAAGCTCTAAGTGCCGTACTCATTCCTGTCCGTTTGACCCTGAAGCTTTGAATTCCGAGGCCCTAATAGCCTAAATTTCAAAATACCGTAACGTGTTTAGGACCCTGCGTTTCTGGTTTTGGGGGCAGCATTCAAGACATTGGATAAGAAATTGGGTTTCGGGG